AGATTTTCCCAAAGCTACAATAAATATATTCTCAAGTAAACGAGGCCATTATCCTCATAATATTTTTGTAGCGAGTCGAGTCGAGGAAGCAAAGGGGTTGTTTGTTAATATTGTATTTAAATGGTAAAAGATTGCAGCCATGTCCGCAGATATATGTATTAGATCGCGCGGCGGGCGGCAGCAGGCGATCTTGTTAAGATTGAGAGCAGACGACGTGACGTTTATGTATCACAGCTCGTACCCCCCCCCCCCTCCATAACGTAACGATGTCACTGGTCATATAAACAGAATGTTATCACGTCGTAAATCAATAAGTTTTCGAGAAAATACTATTTTTGTAGTAAACAGCCATTTCTTTCCTTTCAGATAGCTATCCTATTTATTGATAAGAACATTAATTTATTATAATATGAGCACGCTTGCAGAACTTTCTATACAAACTTACTTCACATGGAAGCGGCAAAGAATCTTTCAGTATTATGAGCATCGAATGAAAAGAGACCGTTATTTATAAGTAAAGCAAACTACTAATGTATGTGTGATGTATGTAAGTAAAGGTCAGACATTTACTGTGTTTTCTTTATTATACTAATTATCTGAACAGATAAACAAGACATGTTTTCTGTATATCTCAAAATCCTTATTATCAACACTCATATGCATTATTTAGGCATATAAGACTATACAGTATCCCAGTCCTCTTCCAAAAGTCGTAAAACCTGATATTGAGTGAGTGTCCCGTATATGACATGTAACTGTGTTTTATGAGTGTCGCTCAACTTCCAGTATTGCCCACAAAGGACGAGTAGTTAAGTTACTCGGCTAAATTATCCGGAGCCGGTCTGTCCCCTCTCCGGCACAAACTTGTGGCCAGCAGTAGGTACTTGTTGTTAGTTTGGATCAGTAACGAGATCAACGTTATCAGCGATTTATGACAACTTGTCCACAACTACTGTCTAGCCACTTTCACTAGCTGCCGAGTCTTTGTAAAGAGATAGTTTATACCGCAAGTTTTGTTATAAAGAATTGACAAATAAATATTTATGTATACGTCCTTATCATTTACACAAAGAAATACTTTTGATCTTTCTAGAAAAAGTGCTAGCAAACAATGCTTATGTTAAGAGAAAGTTTCGAGGTAACAGCATTTAAGGAATTCCGCAACATTTTGTTCCCAAAAGTGTCGTCAGCTAGTGAGACGTCGACCTTATCGCGGTTCACGCCTCAATAGACGGCTACCCACTGAAATATGACGGCATCCCCACCTCGTTACCCCGCACATACTCTGACAAAGAGAAATGAACCCTATCAACCTTCACATAAAGACATTTTGGGTAGCACACGCAAATTGTTCCGGTCGTGACTTTCAAAGTTTGTTTTGTGAATACGATTAAATTGAGTAAGTACTTGCAAATCAAGTTGAAATTATTGATAAATGAATTGTTACTTCGTTTTGTCGGAAGTGCTCGACTTTTGTCGGTCGCGGATTATTTGAACTGTCTGTACCTGCTAGTGTTGTTTTATCTGACTAAATTTTGTTCTATTTCATTTGCATCCAGGAAACAGGAAGAAAACAGGACAAAATAATATTTTCCAGAAATGATTCTGAATGATCAGAAACTGAAGTAACGACTTGTCTTACCTATATAACGAACAATAATAAACCTATTATAAACTAAACACTTTTGAAAGGGGATTCTTGGCTATTTATTGAATTCCGATACACAATACAAAGTATTAATGGAGTTTCAGAGTTGCCAGTACTAGAACGAAATGTTTGCTCTGAAATGTTCACAAGAACTCAGCAATAACTGTTTGAATAACTGCCGATTTTATGAGTTTCCAACTTTCAACGACTCTTAAATATTAAGTTACCGCCCTGATCGGCTTAGTGAAATTTATAACCTGCTTGTATTATAATGTGATGTAAAACCATTACCTCAGAAACACAAACACTTTACTTAAGTGATTATTACAAATTCAATAAGTCTCCCCAGTCCAATTTAAATTGCAGAAATCATGAGAAACGCAAATGAAAAACATTACGAAGGACCATTCGCCAACTCAATTTAACTGGATATGTTTGGTAAGTGAATATATTACTGCGATAACGGGGCCGTTGTGGCGTTGAATAATGAGCTTTATTCAGTTGGGTTAGAGGTTATAGCGATTGCGTGAGTGTGATGGTTAGCGAGTAAATACATCATCCACAATTATTGGCGCACAGCACATTATTCGAGGAACGAAGATAAACGAGGCTCCTACGTGGACTCGCCCTCGGCTTACTTGTAATATTTCCTACGAAGCAGTTTTTGTACGCCAACCTCGTAGGTGGTATTAGCTGGGTAATTTGATGGCGATGAAGAAAAAATATCAGCGGCCACTGGTCGGTTACTGTATTTCGGAAATCATATCTCATCGAGACACATGCCCAGTGATGCCAGTAGAAAGTCTTGCAAGGTGAGACTTTTGAGCCATAATAGGTTTATTATTGAAAGTTTTTTATCAGCATGTATAATGAAGCACACAGTATAATTACGTAGCGTGGCATCTTTCCAGTGATAGCTAATGACACTAAATATCCGTTGTGAGCGCGACATCAGCTGACGTGGCCGTATTCTGGAGACGTCAGGAGGTTATTACGTCACGGGGTTATTACGTCACGAGGTTATTACGGTAACGAAGACAAACGGTCCGGACGACGCGAATATGAACTGCATGAGGTGGGCCAAGGGAAGCGAAGAAGCGGGATACAGCGGCTCTAAACGAATGCAAGCATTCGTTTCGTAAGTAATACTTGCTGAATATAACATAAACATGTTTGTAAAGTTACCACAGTTTCAGCTCGGCGAATATTATCTCTTAGTGCCTACATTACTAAATATAAACATGTCACTGCTCCGTGTTTTAGGACATCTGTGATAATAATAGCAGACGTAGGTCCAATAAATAGAAGCTGGCGTACTGTGGGCTACTCAAAAAATATTGGTCCAATAAAAACAACTTCGAATTTAATAACAATTTATAATTTGGGTACACAACATAACATTGGACATAGGTACATGTTTTCATGATAATGTTTTCATAATATTGTTTGAAATTCCAAGTACACTCATAACACTGCTAATAAATATTTCTAGTGAAACGTATTAATACCACATACATTAATATTGTTCGTACAATTATTGTTATTAGAACTCACACCTGAATTATTTATTTCTAAAACTATATTCATAAAATATAGGTACCTATTCATTTCTGAAAACTTATTAAAGTGAGAGGGAACACATTTGAAATCTGTTTATTTTGTACGTTCACTTTATACTGATGAATGTAACATTAGATTTTTTGAGTCGAACTTTTTATCTTTATCATTCCACAACGCGTTTATTGTCATAGTACAAAATATATTAATGGTAATTCAATCCTAATATACATAACAACAGAAGTTCCTAGAAGAAGAGTCGCCGTCCCCTCGTTCCTTCCACCTCACGGTTTCTCTTCACCGTACATATATACATAATTTATCAATCATTTATCACGCAGCGACCGCGCCGCGCCGCCGTCACGCCGCCATCACGCCGCGCCGCGCGACGCAACGCGTCAAATTGGCCGGACGCTAATGAAAATTGAAAATTGGTTCAGAGAACGATCGGTTCGCTCACTGATGACTATGTGATGTGGAAATTATGTGTCAGCATGTTTTTTCCTGTTTTCGTTTATCGGTTAAGCACCTTTATAAGCCAATGTTTGCTAACCGAACGTGATCTCGAAAACATAAAATATTATAACCTATCGATTTTTTGCCACAATGGATGTTACAACAATGGCGAGGTACTTAGTAGGTACAAGTAATGAACTGGTATGAAGGAGTGTTGTGAGCATAACATCGTGTTCAGTGTTCAATGGAGCGCGGCTCATAAGTGACGCAGTGAACAGCTCAGTGGGCACACGGTGGGCAGGAACAGGTGATCTGTTACCGGCGCCGGCGATACGACCTGTTACTTGCTCACTTACTCGGAAAAACCAAGCTTACTTAGCTACTACTGCCAGTGTGCCAGTGTTCTTTACAATAACAAATGTAAGAATTAGTTCAGAAAAAATTCAATCGTTTCGTGATTAGGTAAACCTATAAAAAACTTTCTTTTTTTGGTAAAAAAAGGATTATAATCTGACCAATTGAAAACCTATTTTTAAGCGCAAACAAATTAAAATACTGCCCTTTATCTCAAAAATTAATACTCTGGAGGCAGGTTACGTTAAAAGCCCATCAGTCACCAAACGGCCGTCAAAGAGCCGATGTGAGTATAATCTGGCCCGCAGGATTACAGCAGCCGGAGCCCGAGCACTGACACACGGAATGCGATATCACGTCAGCTTCAGATATTTGAGCCCCTTTGTGATGTCAGCACTATCCACTTTTAATTCTTTTTGCAATTGGACTTCGTATAGGTACTGTTCTTCTTCTGATAAAGATTAGTTTTCTATAAAAACGAGCACATAGATTGTTTGCTTTGTTCTTTTAGCTGGATCAACACAATTAAATTATCGTAAGATATTTGATGACAAGGCTAATGTATCAATCGCTGGAAGAGTTTATCGCGGTCGAACAAATGAGGCGACGTGAAGCCATCCGTCACGCAATATTCACGGGCCGCTGCCTCCGTACGGAGTCGTTTCCTAGTCGGACAAGCATCACGCTAATCCCTGGGCGAGGGCAGGCATTAATTCATTCAGAACCAATGACGCGGAAGGGTCAGACAAGATTAACGAGCTATAAATTTGGGGTTTAAACCGTTTGTATAGAGATGACCGGTCGACTTAGTGCGGTGCGCTCGGTTTCCTGTGTGAACTATGCCTTAGTGGAAGGCATTCTCGGATGCATTTAGCTGACCATAATCTCGAGTTCCGTGAAACGCTTATATGGTTTAAGCTGCTTGAAACTAACTATATATTATCATGTATTTGTGTAATACAAATTCATTTTTTTCATTGATTACCTGAGTCCAGGAACATCAGACACTGGTGCTCCGTCCTCCGTGAGCCAGGATATGATGGGCGCCGGAGTGCCGTGTGCTGCACACGATACCCGCGCGCCCGTGCTGTTGGAGAACGACAGCCGAGGAGGTGGCTCCATCAGGAACAGGAGCTGACATGATGACGTTGATACTGGAGACAACAAAGAATAATTAAGTTAGTAAAAAGTATATTAAAGTTATGTTGAATGTTGACCACTGCAAATAGAACTGATCACGTAATTTCATTCAGTTATTCACGTGCACGTAGGCAAGACCGACTTCTCATTTAACATCATTAACTGTCAATCATAACGAGCGAGTGTACGTCTTCATCCTAATTTGAGAATAAAACGAGCGTGTAACCACCACACTACAGAACACAATTAACCCCGCGACGCGCGGCGCTGGCAACAATTTGCTTCTAAATTATTTGTCAGAAAATGATTAACTCCTACGTCTCAAACGTTTCATTTAACAAAATAAAAGGGAATTTCAAATGGTAACTCAATTAATGTGAGCTGAACGGCGTAAACAATTAGATGAGGAGTGTGGGAGCTGTGTACTGCGTGTACTGCGGGGACTGTGTGTCAGCCGGCGCGCGGCGACACACGACAGGAGCACGTAATTAGCAGCTGCGTGTGAGTTATTGGATGTGTCTTTTGATAACGGAATCAAAGGCAACCTCGGTACACATTCGAGCTCACTACGTATCAAAGAGTATCTGCTATAAGCCTTGCCGATACTAAGTCAACACATTGCGAATCATAATGATACATACATACGTTTGACAAACACATGTATTACTTGTTGGAAATTTGTCAGACCCTGCATGCCATGCCTCGTTACGTGCAGGCAAATATTAAAAATGATATTCCTATACTAAAATAACTTCTCGTTAATCATAATCATTAACGAACTTGTGGTTACATATTTAACTAGACATGTGGTGATCTAGTTAAGTATGTAAAATCACGAGTAAAAACAACAAGAACCCCCTTGACGGATTATTGCAATCCGTAATTCTTTCACTCATAAATTAGAGGAATTTAACAAACGGCAGCGAGGCACCTGGCCTCGACATTTCGGCTAACAGATTTATGAGTGTCGCGTGCACAGAACCGCACCTTAATCTTACGATACAGCCACAGAGCCACACGAATGCGGGGCCATCCTCTCCGTTCGCTACTCCATGTACCCGCTGCTTTATTAAAATTCCAATGTTGCGTCACTTTGTCGTGCGACCGCGCTAATTGTCGCAAGTCGCGCAACAATTCGCGACGGAATCCTCTTTGACGAAACTCCTTTGACATTCACTTATTATAAGACGTCGCTTACATTTAACTTATTTACACGACTTGATATTACTGTGACAACTACGTCTTTATGTTTATTATATTTATAGTTTATCAACGTTTATCAGATGCGTGAGATACCGCAGATAATGTCATTCTTTGTTAAAAGGCACTTAACTGTGAACTACTAGAATATTCGGCCCCGGATAGTGGGCGAGCCTTTGTGTCCTTGTGTTTATTTATTAATGAAACAATTACTACCACTCGAGTTATTCTTTCGCACCAGGAATAACATTAATTACGTAGTTAACACGAATACTTCCCTCACAAATGCCCTGTACAAATAAAACAGAACAAAGGAGCAACAAATAACGGTACAATAACTAACATCCGTATCAAGAGGCTGACTTTAATATAGTGTGTGAGTGGGAACTTAATAAAACGAAATTACACGTACTGCGGCTTACAGCGGCTTAGGCCAGCCACCACTCAAATTTACTGGCCGTCTCCGCGACTATAAAAAGAGCATTTGAGCGTGTTACGCGGACGTAAAATATACGAGCTCTTGGGCTAGCGCCGCTGATAGTGACGTGGTAGGAGCACGATCATCGATACAGGTTGTCACCTGTTGGTATTCGGGGTGTCACTGTAATACATTTATATTAAGTGAAATTAATTAATGACTGCACGGTTGTCGCGGTGTATGGGCTACCGGCTGCCGCGTAACGTGTAGCGGATTTGATTTCCGCACGGAACAACTCTTTATTTGATCCGCAAATTGTTGTTTTGGGCCTGGGTGTCATGTGTATGTGAACTTGAATGTTTGTAAACGCGCCCACGAAACAGGAGAAAATTCTAGTGCGGATTAAAAAAAATAAGTTACACATGACACATTAAGTAATTACTTATAAAACTGCAATCGTTTCATGCAGTTTTAACTGTACACAGAACTAAACTAACAAAAAAACATCACTACAGAGTAACAAATCGGCAACAAAAATCGATATCAATTCATCACATCACTAGCACAATGCCAGGTGTTCCGATATTGTTTTATGGGAGTTCCAGTTTGAGGCAAATTGCATAACTTGGCCTACCTGTATGTGTTTATCGATTTTATGCGTAACAGATAAAAACTAGAGGAAATCAACGCGATCAGCGAAACTGCTTGAGTTAACAGTTTATATTTACGCGCGCGAGCGGTACGATGAAACGAACCTTCGGTTTATATCTCATTTTCTGCGGGATAAGGTAACCTTACAGTTTAGGTGAACTACCTTTCGACGATAAAAGGTCGAGTTGTATTATATCACTGGTAAATGAACAAATAAATGAAATATCGAGTCAGTTAGCACTACACTCCTATCGAATACATAATAATATCTTTACAAAACAATGGCCTTAATTGAAAACTTTAGCAAAGTGAGAATGTGCTTTTTAAATAACACGTCATTGTCGCTCTCACTCGTTTCCCGAAAGTAGCCGCTTAAAGGAATTCAATTCGAGATTTATTGGAAACAATTTCACCAAGTGTACGGCAATAATGGGCTGAATGTAAGCACCCTGTAGTTAAAGGATTGTCATGAGTGTCAATACAGGGACGTGTTACGAGTTATTTTATTGCATAGTATTGAATAGAATTGCAGGGTTTTACATCAACTGTCATAATCTTTTGTCACCTTTTAGCATCTTTAAATTATTTCTATTATAATTATGTCTATGGCTAATCTACATAAAGCTAAAATTTGACATCATTTTCATCACATAAAAATAACTCATACAATAGAAGTCATTAGAAAACTTACGACGAACATTTTCCTTTAAAGATCTTTCTAATTTGTGTCCTTTTCGGAAATTCGGTAATAAATGGAGGTATTTACTTGGATATTTCTTTTTTTGTAATAAAATTGGCGGAAAGAATTGAAGTTGGTCTTTGTTAGTGTCTCTAATAAAAGTAGACAAAGGGCAGGACGTGGCCAGTGCGCTGTCCTCAATTGTACGCAGTACTTACAATACTCACAACTTTTAACTACTACCAGAACTGTCTCACTAGAACATTGATTCAATAAACACTGCTCATACTGCTGTGCTTCTGTTATGTCAATTAAAAATCGACTTCTTTTCGTGTAATTAACATTGTTCTGCATTCAACCTCCATTGTTACATCTTCATCCTATGAATAACATGGCTTGCGTTTAGCACGTTTCTGTAATATTGATCAAAAAATATTTTCCTCAGAGGCAAACGCAAAATCCATTAGTGCGGAACCAATCACTCAACCACTTCACTCATGTGCGCCAAAGTTTTCAACAAAAATAGCAAAATTACTTAAACCGCCACGTATCGCCACGTGTATCACTCGTTGCTTTACGTCTGTGATAATATTCGCCTGAATAACGTGATTAACTTTAGTCACAACATTTGAAACAACACAGCTTAACATTGAATGAATTATTTCTAAAATAACACTTTTGGCTAAATTATTTGGTGCGCACCTACGCACTCGCGTAATGTTGACGTTATTATTAATATTAGACGCGGTTAACAAAAACCTTTGTAAACGTAGAAGTGTTAATTAGCATGTGACAGAACTCAGCTCACGTATTTGCTTTAAAACATTTGTTAAACCAAAATGGTCGCGTTAAACACATTTTAACACATTTAGAATCTGTGTGAGAGAACATAATGAGCTTACGGTTAATTCCGCAGTAAAAGAGTGTCAGTCGGAGGTCATTGTAATATCCATTTAGTTGAATATAATCCTTGGTATGTAGCTCATTAATAACTACGTAATCCATTCGGGCGTCGTTTAACCCTTTCGCCCTTGCCCTAAACAAGGCAGTAACTTCAGACTGTAGAATGTGTATGTGGTACAAGTGACGAGCGAGTCTCTTGTGCCACATAACATATCCGGCCGTTTATTTTCTGACTGATCTTTTTCAAACTGTCATAATTACAACTACTGTGTTGTCGATTTCCATATCAATAAAATAAATAAAGCAATGTTGAGTATACACTGTGTGGCTTAGTGTGGCTGTTTAATATATTATGTTTGTCAAATAAAAGTAATTTAAGTTAATTTAAACTAGATAATTGTAAACTGCAACTCGCTTCCGTTCACACCTTGTCCTAAACCAAAAAAGGTCTTTGATATGCCAATATGCATGCACGACAGACTCCTCGAGGCAAATTGAAATTTGCTCGAGGCCCACCTTCAGTGGGTCACCGGCTGCTGAGCTTGGCGCGAAACGGTTATTGTCAGGACGATCGCTTTCATTGCCCGCCATGAATAGAACACGCACAAATATTTTGATTATGCAAATTCAGTGTGTATTGCCACTGCGAACGAACCGTTTTACACAGCACTTTTATTTTCTTGTAATCTGCTCAGGTCAATTGAGTTTTTACCTGTACCTTTTTTGAGGTAACTATTACATTTCTTACAAAATTGTGAAACTGTGTATATTACGTTTTATAAATATACCTTGGTACATGATTGGAAAATTTCATATTTTTTGATAATTGTAAAAAAATCACAAGTTTCATTATTTACCTATGTATAAACTACGGTATAAGTAGTTCTTTATCAGAAAAAACAATTAAAGCTTAGCTGTTAAAGGTCGGACATTCCAACTGTGTGCTAGTACAGATCTAGAGAACAAAAAGTGCTCTGTCCGTCCTCATAACTAGGTCAGCTGAGTTCATACAAGCCAAGTTAAAGCCTTCGGAAGTTACTCACATAAATTAATAATAGAACTTTAGACTTTAAACATAAATACATTAATAATAAAAATACATATATGTATTATAATGGCCATTATGTTAGTGATGGTTATTACCAAGTGATAATTTTAAACGTAGTGATGTGAGGTGATTTTA